ACCCCTGGCTACTTTTTAAACATCTTTGTTCGGAGAAGGTCTTACTATATTACCCAGGCTGGTCTGGAACTCCTGGCCTCAAGTAGCCTTCTATCCCTCAGCCTTCCAAAGTGCCAGGATTACAGGCATGAGGCACCACAGCTGGGATTTTGCCAGTTTTTTAATAGCAATACTTGTCTTTTTATTATGAATTGTAAAAGTATGCAGTGTACACTTGGAAATAGAAAACACTATGTTTTGGCTCGGCACCCATAGCTCTCAGTGGTTAGGGTGCCGGCCACATACATCGGGGCTGGCAGGTTCGAACCCATCCTGGTCCTGCTAAAACAACAATGACAACTATAACAAAAAAATAGCTGGGCATTGTGGCAGCTATAGTCCCGCTACTTGGGAGGCCGAGGCAAGAGAATCACAACAAAAAAATAGCCAGGCATTGTGGCTGCCTCTGGTCCCAGCTACTTGGGAGTAGAATCACTTAAGAGAATCACTTAAGTCCGAGAGTTGCGGCTTCTATGAGCTGTGACGCCATGGCACTCTACTGAAGGCAACATAGTGAGACTGTCTCAAAAACAAAAATAAAAAAAAACACTATGTTTTGCAAAATCCTCATGATTGTGCTAATTCCTGACAATGTTACACATTATGCAGATATTTGGATATAAGCACTGTTTTTGCCTTTGCTCTCCTTTATTTGTAAATATTACCACTCAGAATTTCACATCACTAGTTATTTATTTATTCACTGTTGGAGATTCATTGAGGGTACAAAGAACCAGGTTACACTGATTGCCTTTGTTAAATAAAGACCCTCCTGTAATTGTGTCCTGCCCTCAAAAGGTGTGCTACCCCCTGAGACACCCCCCTTCTCTTCCTTTGTTCTTTCCCATTCCACTCCCTCCGCTCTCCCCTTTCCCCAGTGCCCACCATGTACTAGGTCATTAATTGTCCTCATATCGGAATTGAATATAAAGAATTCTTGCTTCTCCATTCTTGTGATGCTTTACTAAGAGTAATATATTCCACTTCCATCCAGGTTAATACCAAAGATGTAAAGTCTCCATCTTTTTTAGTGTCTGAACAACATTCTAAGATACACATATACCACAGCTTGTTAATCCATTCGTGAGTTGGTGGGCATTTAGGCTGTTTCCACATTTTGGTGATTATAAATTGGGCTGTGATAAACAGTCTAGTGCAAGTGTCCGTATGGTAAAAGGAATTTTTTCTTCTGGGTAGATGCCCAGTAATGGGATTGCAGGATCAAATGGGAGGTGTAGCTTGAGTTCTCTGAGGGTTCTCCATACTTCCTTCCAAAAAGGTTGTATTACTTTGCAGTCCCACCGTTGTATCACTTTAAAGGTGTTTTAATATTAGTTCTAAGGAATATGAAATCAAACATAAAGCAAAAGGTAGCTTTAATTTTGTTTTATTTTTTGGTTTTGGCCCTTAACACACAAGAAAAGAGTTTATTGACAGGAATTTTGTTTCTGTCTGATTTAGTTCTTAAACTGACACTGTTGGCCTCCTGCAGGATTGACCCCTGCTTCTCCATGCCCCTCCGCCAGCCTGGCCTGTCTTCCCCCCACTCCTTCTCCCCACACTCTCTGGTACGTCCTGCTGTTTCATTAGCAGCCTAGTGGCGCTGGCAGGCCAGCAGGGTCTGAATAAAGAAAAGGCGTACTCAGTAAATCACCAGAACTTTATTCTAGCTTATTCCCAATGTAAAGGCTCAGGGCAATTAGGCAGGCTCTGTGATTTTGATCTCTTTGTGACCTCATTTGCAGACTGGGATACAGACTTTCTAGTTAGTTCAAAGGAAGGAACGTGTGCCTTTAGTGTGGAAAGGGGGCAGAATGGCTCTTGGGCGAGAGTGTGAGAATCATTGTGCGGATTCTGTGGTAATGTGAAGGAAATGTAAGCTTTTTGAGCCCATTGTAAAAAGAGAATGTAATGTGTTATGCTCACAAACAAGTAAATAGCTATGTTCTGACAGATAGTGTCTATCGTTCTACATGCTAATCAGCATGTAGCCCAGGATTCTGAGTTTAATTTCATTCTCTTGTTTAGACTTACTTAATGTATTTGAAGTCTGCTACGCTTAGAATTTAAGTTCTTTTTTTTTTCTTTTCTCACAGCTGGCTTAGTTAGCCTGTGAAGAAAAAAGTTCACAAGACCATTATAAAATTAATGTCATCTAATTTACTTTTTTCCTACATCGGAATGGC